GGTTCGCCTCCTCCAATGGATTTGTTTGTCAGAATTCTCCTGACAGGTCATTCCACAGCCTTGGGTCTACTGATGGTTGTCAGTTGGCTTTGGTTGGTTGGGATAAATGGAAAACCCAGGGGACCGAAATGGCTGGGATGGATTGTACAGACAAAGACAATCCTGTAGGTAACCTGGACCCAAACCACGTAGGGCTTTAAAGGTCAAAACCATCACTTTGCATTTTACCTGGAAATGAATTGACAACCAATGGGATGACTTTAATATGACCATTATAGGCTCACTCCTAGATGTTCCTGTAACTAGTCTCTTTATATCAGTGGTTCCGAACCTTTTTTTGACCAGGGACCACTTTGACCAGGGACCACTCTCCAACATTAACACCAAAAGGGTTATGAATCAGTTTTTGGTCAACTTTCGATTGGGATTGGTTATTTGGGGTGCTGATTCAGGAAATTGCATTGGATAGACTACATCAGCTCTAGTTTCTGATACATAACATATGCCATCAAGTAGTCGCCATCTACAGAAAACCATATTTAATAAGCCTCAGTACTATAAGAGGGTTTCGCAAAACCAGTCACTCTCATTGCAATGGTGTATTTATTTATTTAGAGTATTTATATATCGCTTTGTAGTAACAGTGAGGCCGCAGATCATATTTTAGTTCATGTGGACCACTGGTGGTCCACAGATCACAAGTTGGGGACCACTTTTTTTTTTACAAAGGCATAGTAAAAATGGTGCCCCTTATATAAAATGGCAAAACCAAGGCTTGCTTTGGGGATTTAAAAAAATATTTTCAATCCATAGATGGTGAAATCTGTAGATGCAGAACCTGTGGATATGAAGGGCATACTGTACAGATAAGCTTAAGAACCATTCTATACATTTCTTAGTATCAGATAGTATACTGTATTTTTCTGTATTATTTCCCCCAAGATTTGAGCCAATTGCATATTTAAAGAAGAACTTGGAAATGTTACTTCTTGGGATGCAAGTTCCAAAAATTCCCAGTTGGCATGATCATTGGCTGTATTGACTAGAAAAGAGATTTCTGGAAGCATTTACCTTTAAAAGTAGTTTTCCAAGCTCTCTTTTTAATGGATCTTTCATGAAAATAAATTGATTGCATGTAGATAGCTGATGTGCTTTGAAAAAGGGATTTCGGTTAGTTATCTCCTTGATATGCTAATATCCTGTGTTTGGGGAATTGTTGTTGTTGTTCTCATATGACAGAGTATCCAAACATGTAATATCCTTTTCCCCCATGGGCAGAATAATTTGGTTAAAGTCCAGGAAAAACAGAATCATTTGGTTCTGCTGCTGCATGTGTAGATCGGTCCTGCGATTATAACAACAACGAAAAATAAGTTTTTATAACAATTGCTGGCAGCAGTTTTATCCTGCCCCTGTAGCTTCTCGCATGTCCAAAAATAAAACAGGCACAGTCTCTGTTTAACATTAAAAATGAAACCAGAAGCCAGCAGTGCAAAGCTTTTAACAAATTTGCCGTTTTATCTCTGAGATGGTTCTTCCAACTTGGCCTCTTTCTTGAAGCTTAATAGTCAATTGCTGGGAATGTTCCTTTGCACGTATGGAAAAGCCTGGCCACACAGACAGGAAATAAAAAATCTTCTTGGCTGGATTATAAATAAGTGCTCAAGACAAACAATTGGAAAAGGCTTCTCAATACAAATTATTGCAACTCCTTAGAGTTTTAGCAGTATGGCATGGTATACATGTGTGAAACTGAAAATCTATGGACCAAATCTGACACTACCATGTAATTTTATGTGACTCTCCAGATCAGGCATGGGCAAACTTTGGCACTCCAGGTTTTTTGGACTTCAACTCCTACAATTCCTAACAACCTGACTTTAAAATGTCCTTTAACCTTTCCTGATCCTCAGAATCATAAGTGTTGAAGGGTTGCAATAATAATAATAATAATAATAATAATAATAATAATAATAATTTATTTGTACCCCGCTACCATCTCCCCAAGGGACTCGGTGCGGCTTACATGAGGCCGAGCCCAGATACAACAATACAGACAATAATCAACAGTGCAAGCAATTAAAAATAAAAAACATAGACAATAAAATATACAACATTATCAATAAGACAGCACACAATTAAAAACCATTATCTCCAGTCCACATGGTGGATGATCAAAAGTAATGGGAATTGTCATTCAATATCAACAGGGTAAAAACTAAAGGTAGTTGACTCTCTGTATCCGATGACTCTCCATCCATGGATTCAACAGCCCTTTGAAGGCAAACATAAGTCTGATGTGACCCTCAATGAAAATGAGTTTGTCACCCCTGGCTTCATAGATGGAAACTTGGCTTCCAATCCAATCTAACAGACAATATCTTACATTTAAATTCCACTCCTGCTAGCTTGTTTATAACTTGTTTAAGGTGGTGAGCTGTTTTGTCATGGTAGCTCTCCATTAAGAAAACTTTCAAGTGTCTAGAAACAACAGGCTTAGAGAACAACTACCTGATACAGTTGGCCTCCCACATTTATAGGTTTAATTTTTGCAGATTTGATTGTGTTTTTGATTAAAATGTTATCTCTAGGCATCTTAAGTTCATTCAGTATCTGTTAGACGTTGGCCATAGATCATGGTGAAGGGCCTTCCATGATTTCATACCATTGAGCCATGACAGTTCAAGTGGTATTCAACTGCATTAATCATACAGTGTAAATTAGGCATGGGTCAACTTTGGCCCTCCAGGTATTTTGGACTTCCAACTCCCACAATTCCTAACAGCCTACCGGGTGTTAGGAATTGTGGGAGTTGAAGTCCAAAACACATGGAGGGCCCAAGTTGCCCATGCCTGGTGTACACACACCCTGAGTCCCAGGAGCAATGGTTCTTCTCAACCTGTGGGTCCCCAGATGTTTTGGCCTTCAACTCCCAGAAATCCTAACAGCTTCTAAACTGGCTGGGATTTCTGGGAGTTGTAGGCCAAAACACCTAGAGACCCACATATTGAGAACCACTGCTCTGGAGCAGATGAAAACAAGCTGGCTCCATCTTCAATATGACATATTTAAACATGGTCACCTCTTCACCTTATGTTCTCCAGGGTAAACATACCCAGCTCCCTAAACCTCTCCTCAGAAGGATTCATGGTTTTGAGACCTTTGATAATTTTGGTCATCCTTCTTCAAACCCTTACCCTAACCCATGCCTGGTGTAAATACACCAGTGGTTCTCAACTTGTGGGTCCCCAGGTGTTTTGGCCTATAATTCCCAGAAATCCCAGTCATTTTAACAGCTGTTAGGATTTCTGGGTGTTGAAGGCCAAAATATCTGAGGATCCACATGTTGAAAATCACTACACTAGTGTTCTAGCAGAGAATCCAAAATCCCCTCCTCACACTGCAAATCCCAGGATTGCAATGAATGTTTCCATGACAGTTAAAGTAGAAACCTAATGCTGCGATTCAGGGTGTATTGCAGTGGTTCTCAACCTGTGGGTCCCCAGATGTTTTGGCCTTCAACTCCCAGAAATCCTAACAGCTGGTACAACTGGGAGTTGTAGGCCAAAACTCCTGGGGACCCACTGGTTGAGAACCACTGCTCTAGTGCTTCACCAAACTAGAAATCCTAGAATACCATTGTAGTTAAACTGGAGTGATGGTGCTATAATTGTGAAGTGTGAACGGGCCACAGTGATAATAACTTCAGCTCTTTTTACGACCGCCCCATATGAGCAGAATGGAGAAGCCCTACACTTTCTGTATATCACACTCAGATGTACTTTAGACTTGACTGTGAATATGGCCAAAGATCTTTGCCATTCTCTAACCTTCTGCAACAGTGGACTAAAGGATACTTAATCTTTATCTAAAAATAAATAGGATAAATATTTATCAAGCCAAACTAACACTTAGATCTAACCTTCATATATGTATGGTAGCATTTTTCAGTATTTCCATCTTGAAGCAGATTGTGTCAAAAGGCATTTCTAGAGCCATTTATATAAATAAGATTTGTATGGGAATGTATAAACAGAAATGAAGGAGTACATTTTTCAAGGCGGCCTTAATTAATTTAGAGCAATCACTTACAATAAACAGCATGAACTGGGCATCCACCACAATAGGGAGTGATGCAAATTTATTGCTTTGTGTGTTGGATCAAGTTCAGATTTCTTTGGCTCCAGTCCACCTTTTCAGCAAGTTTATAGTGTATGTGTGTTTTGAAACTTTCCCTGCTTAACTGCACAAACCTATTGTACAAGGCTGACCATGAACTTAAAAAAAAAATCAATTTGGAAGACATTGTATGCAATTGTTAAGATGTGAATTTGTTAAAATGGATGAGACCGGAGGCCGGGAAGAGTGTTGTTGGGGAAAGCAAAATTAAACTTTGTTGCACATGAGATGTAAAGAGGTCCATTGTGGTCTCTAAGATACAGATACAGCAAGGTTGTTCTTGCCATGTCAGACTGTGTCTCTTCTTGGTTACTGTTTGAATCTTTTGTCAGCTCAGCTCCTTTTGTTTCCAACCTGCTGTAATAATTGCTGACCAAGACAAGAACTCGCTAATGTGAAAGATGTAACAAAAGGGAGTGAGAGGAAAATAAAAGAAGGCCCCTCAGGGTAGGTAGGAACACACGGGCTGAAAGTTCCCCAGGAGGCTCCATCCGCTTTCTAAACTTTCTCCTTCAAATCTTCGCCAGAGATCTTTGGATTCAGATCCCTTTCTTGTTTGACAGCAGTGCGTTTTCCAGACATCAGGGTGAGCCAGCTGTTCAAAATAGCACCCAGAAGGATAGCTTTACGACTTTGTGATTCAAAAAGAAGGCATAGTCCCTGATCCAAAAAAAGAAATCTTAAGAAAACATTGTGCCAGAAAACAGAAGCTCTTGTTTTTCCTTCTCCTTTCCTTCCTTCCTTTCTTTGCAAGTATTGATTTTGTGGGAGAAACTGTATACGCTTCCCGTTTTCATTGTTCTCTCTATCTCTTCTTCCAGTTTGGTTGCTGAAATGCGCTAAGAGTGATCTCCAAGGGTTTCAAAACATGGAATCTACCAAAATATCACCATCTGAGGAAGAGCAGTCTTCTATGGATATCGATGACCTCCACTATTCGTTGCAAGGTAGGTTCAGCACATATTTTCTGGGTTAGTTTAATCCAGGCATGGGCAAACTTTGGTCCTCCAGGTGTTTTGGACTTTTGTGCGAGTTGAAGTCCAAAACACCTGGAGGACCAAAGTTTGCCCATGCCTGGTTTAATCTCTTGCGTATAGTGTTGCCAAACTGAAAAATAAAAATGGTCCCTGAGTATTTAATGATTATGGGAAAGAGGGACTTTCAACAAATGTTTCTAGTTACTTAGTTGCACGACAGACAACATCTGCTGTAATTCCCTTTTTTACACAATTGCATTAAGTACAAGAACTATCTCCAGTTTAGCCCTATTTATATGGCATAGAATAAAACATTCATGGAAGAATGACTCTATTGGTCAATCTAACGTAGCGTTCTGTTTGGGAGTGGACGAAAAATTAATTTTTAGATTATTGGTCCTAGAATTATTTAGCCAGCAGGCCCAGGGACTCTGGGAGCTGTAGTCCAAAACAGTAGTAGTTACATGTTCTCACCTTGTTTCCCATAGTAGTCAACTGTATACCCAGGGACTCTGGGAGCCGTAGTCCAAGTAGCAATAGTTACATGTCATCACCCTGCTTCCCATGATCACCAACTGTATGCTTCCACAAATAGTTGAGTACTATGATTTCTAGATTGATTGTTGCTTTTCGTCCTATACAACAGGCATGGGCAAACTTTGGTCCACCAGGTGTTTTGGACTTCAACTCTCATAATTCCTACCAGCCTACCAGGTATGTTAGGAATTGTGGGAGTTGAAGTCCAAAACACCTGGAGGACCAAAGTTTGCCCATGCCTGCTATACAACTTGTAATCCATGTCCAGCTGCTTCCGAACCTTTATTTAATACCTTCAAAGGCAGTGGTTTCCAACCTTTGGTCCTCCAGGTGTTTTGGACTTCAACTCCTACAATTCCTATCAGCTGGTAAGATGGCTGAGATTTTTCGGAGTTGAAGTCCAAAACACCTGGAGGACCAAAGGTCGGGAACCACTGTCCTAAGGGATTTGTCCATGACTAATTCTTCCAACGCAATGACTTATGTATTTTGGATGATATGTCTTCCTCCTGGAACCAGAGGGATAATATTAGATACAAATGAGTAGACATGTGCGGGGCAGCTGGTATGGGACATTCCCCTCCCTTTGTTCATTATTTGCAGTTTTTTACTATAGTGAGCCATTGATATGTGATGGGGTTTGGTTTCAGGATCCCTTTGATTACCAAAATCCATGGATCCTCAAGTCCCATTATAGATACTGGCGTCCTTTATATATAATGACACTCAAGGTTTGCTTTTTCAATTTTTGACGGACTATTGGATGGTTTGCTTTTTGGATGGTTGAATGTACATTAACATCTTCCTGTGAAATAATTCAAAAATGTACTAGTAGTGCAATTCTATGCTTGTCTACTCTGGAGCATAACTCATTTTAGTGACAATTCAAATGTTAATTCCATGTTGATCTGGAATATCAGTATACAAGTATATATCAGTATATATATGTTAGTGTGTAATGTATTTTGGTGCTGAAGATTGTTAAATAAACTTGGATTAGCTCAGGGATGGAAATCAGGTAGTTTTCCAAGTGTTGTGGAAGAACAACTTTCAGCATTACGTACTTTTGGATAGGGCTGCTGAGACTTGCTGTCCTAGAGAATCTGGAAGTGGGCATGATTCATACATGGGTTAGGTACACTTTTGCAGCCTTGGCTATCTCTCCCAGGCAGATTATGCTGTAATAAAATGGAGTGGCAAAGTTTCCATTGTTTAAGCTTGAGCTCATTGGAGAAAAGGGGGGATCTGAATGTTATAGATTCAGTGCAGGTATAGACAGTAGCTCAGTGAATGAACAGTGAGTCAAAACTCTTATTCACAATCAAATCTCAACTGAGAAATAGGGAATTCATAGAGGTTTTCTTATAGGAGGATTTGCAAACATGTAGCCTTCCATATACTGTTGGACTGTAACTCCTAGCAGCTCTCATATGTATAGCTTATAGCCAAGGATGCTGGGAGTTGCTGTCCAAAAACATCTTGAGGATTGAATGATTGCTTGCTCTGCCTTATAGCATGCATATTCTCAGCTTTATCTACAAAACAGGAATCACAATATATCACTGGGTTGTTGTAGGTTTTTTGGGCTGCATGGCCATGTTCTAGAAGCATTCTCTCCTGACGTTTCACCTGCATCTATGGTAGGCAGCCTTGGAGGTTGTGAGGTTTGTTGGAAACTAGGAAAATTGGTTTTATATATCATGTTTGGAAAACTGACTTCCTTCAATTACTAGGCTGTCCTGGGGGCTTGGGGAGTTCTGTTCAAAAAAGTAACTTTTCCAGGCTCTGTTCATGCTGTTGCTAAGGGTTGGAACACTACACATGCCTTTGATTCCATTGTCCATAGTCCACTTTAATTGCTCAAGAGGTTTTATTTTTACAGTGCCGATTATGAAACGGAAAGGATTCCTGAAGCTTTAGATCAGAGATTCCCACACTGTAGATTCCAATGTTGGACTTGAACTCCCAGAAGCCTCAGCTGCAGGTCTTCTGGGAGCTGAAGTCCCTAGATGACCAGAGTTTGGGAAACCCTGCTTTATAATATAATAATAATAACACTTTATTTAGACTAATGTTTTGAGAGGGCCAGTACTATTTGCTCTGTCGTATTTTCCTTTGCTGAATTTTATCCTTATCTCTGTTCAAACAGTGTTGCAGCATGGCAAGTCACCTGCTATTCCTCAACACTGCAAATTAAAAGATATGGTTGTCTTCCTGCAACACATAGCAAACCTTGTTTTTCGTTTCAGAGGAAAATGCCTAGGTCTTCTCTGATTATATAGTACAAACCCTGTATCCATGTGGAGTATGTTCCTAAACTTACTGTAGAAACAGGAAACAAAGCATACAGGGTGCCTGATCTGTTTTCACCAGATCGGATTTGGCCAACATATTTAGTAGGAGATCCATAGAGGTATTAGAGCTGCAAGACTGTCCAGTGAGAGTGTGCATGTGGCCAGCAGGTTGTGTGTTGGGCCATTGGTCCTGAAAGCCAGAATTGTGGGGCACGGGGAGCCTTTACTAGCAAGGGCAGTGCAGCCTTGGATTACTAAATAAATAATTATTTAAACATGTATATTCCACCCTATATCTGAGGATCCCAGGAGGGCTTGTCCCTGTGCCAAATGACATAATGTAGAATTTGCTACTGAGCACAATTCAAACTGCTGGCTTTAGCCTATAAAGCCCTAAATCAGTGATTCTCAACCTGGGGTCCCCAGATGTTTTTGACCTTCAACTCCCAGAAATCCTAACAGCTGGTAAAGTGGCTGGGATTTCTGGGAATTGTAGGCCAAAAACATCTGGGGACCTCAAGGTTGAGAACCACTGCCCTAAATGGTTCCGGCCGAGCTTTCCTGTCTGAATGTATCTCCTCCTAGGAACCATCTAGGAGCTTAAGATTGTCTGGGGAGGCCCTACTCTCGATCCCGCCTGCCTCGCTAGTGCGATTGGTGGGGACAAGGGACAGGGCCTTCTCAGTGGTGGCCCCCCGGCTATGGAACTCCCTCCCCAGGGATATTAGATCATCCACCTACCTCCTGACTTTCTGAATAAAGGTAAAAACTTGGCTCTTTGAGCAAGCTTTTGAGAATGCAGTGGAATAGATAACATGGAAGTATGAATGATGAACACAGAATGGCTAGACAATGTGACTGGAAAACGTTTTTAACAGGATGACACTGATGACTAGATGTATTAATGGTTTTTATATTGTTATGTTGATGGTTTTTAATTGCACTTTTCTGAATGTATGGCATCAAATTGTGCCAACCTGTAACCCGCCTTGAGTCCTCGTATGGTTGAGAAAGGCGGGCTATAAATATTGTAAATAATAAATAAATAAATAAATAAATAAATAAATGCCCAGTTAGGCTTCTTTACATCCCATAACCATGAACAATGAATCCAGATTATCACCTGCATCCAAGAAGAAACCCCTGGCCTGGGTTACTGCTGACAAGTGAGATGGACCGTTGGTCGGGTTTTGTGTAAGGCAGATTCCTCTGGATCCCATAAGAGTGTGATCTGTAAATTGGGAAGCCTGCAGTCCAAATCTCACATAAGGAAACCTGCAGGTGCCACATGCAAAGTGTTGCCCTTCAGCTTCACCTCTCACTTGCGGTACAGGAATAATAATGTGAGTAGCTTACTGTAAGGATTACCGAGACAGCTTGTGAGACACCTTGACCGTGTCACAGAAACCTTGTAATAGGCCAACAAAAATATTGTTGTGTACTTTCATTTTACTAGCTAAGGTAATAGCCTACACTTTTGTACTGGCTGTGAGTCAAGGGAAGGTCTTCCCTCTGCAAACAACTTAGAAAAAACATTGACTATTGTTTATTTGTTCCTGGCATTGAATGTTTGCCATTTTTGTTAAACTTTGGAAACCAGCCTGAGTCCCTCCAGGGAGAGAGGGCAGGTATAAATAAAGATTATTATTATTATTATTTGATACATAACAAGATTAGTATGCAGCAAACATACTTTTGGTCACACTGTGTGATGTATCGGCAAATAATGCATGCAGATATGAGTAGGGTGTACTTTTGCAGCTGACAGATGGCAATTTTGTCAGCATCAATTGTTTTTAAGTGCAGGCCAAAGTCTTCAGGCACTGAACCCAGTGTGCTGATCACCACTGGGACTGGCTTGTGGCAGTCTTTTCAGTTCTATCTTTAAATATATCTTTATGTAAGCTTTTTGCAGGCGCGATTGGTGGGGACGAGGGAGAGGGCCTTCTCAGTGGTGCCCCCCCCCCCCCCCCCCCCCGACTCTATAACTCACTTCCCAAGTACATCAGACATGCCCCAACTCTGGCAGTCTTTAGGAGGAGCCTGAAAACATGGTTGTTCCAGTGTGCCTTCCCAGAATAAGGAAAACTCTCAGCAATATGCCCTCAAAATGCACTTTACCATTGATTTAGGACTGAC